GACTCCGGCTTGTCTCCAAAAGGACAATGCGGCTCAAACGGAGTTCTGGCGAAACGCGACACAAGGCCCCATGGTCAGCAGCGCGGCGCAAACAGACCCGTGGCGAAGGCTAAGTCAACCCGGCACGGTTCTAGACGGGGGAGAGCCCCCAACTCCACCAGCGCAATCGTCTGCGCGAAGAGCGCCATCGGGTTCCCAGCAGGAAAAGAGGATAAATCCACAAGAGGAGCAAAAACCGAGGCCCCACAGAAAAAACAGCCGCGAGAGGCAGCGCTGGAAAGGACGCGACCACCGCCTGGGGAAAGGCTGCTCCAAAAAAGCGGGCGCGAAAGCCTCAACGCCCGGACGCCCTTATAGTGGAAGCGAATGGCAAGACCTAGAGCGAAGTCCTAGCGTTGGTCATCCGTAGGGATGACCTCAGCACCCGAGTAAACAAGGTCAGGCGCACAGCGAACGGGAACCTTCTTCTGGAGCTCAACAGAAGCGAGGACACCAGCACGGATGCATGAAAAGAGAGCCTTGAGGCGGTTTTAAGAGAAGCGACTGCGGTGCGATCGCTATCCGAAAGTGCGAGGACAAGGACGGTGGTGATTAGCGACCTTGACCCGCTAGTTGAGGCCGAAGATGTCACCAAAGCTCTGGTGGACCAATTCGCCATGAACGCCGAATCGGTTATATTGAGGAGTCTACGTCCATCACACAGAGACACTCAGACGGCAGTGGTTGGACTGCCCAGCAAAGACGCAGAAGCGGTTCTCTGCAAGGGTAAAAGGAGAGGGACTCGCAGCCCAGGTGCTACAAGTGCCTAGAGATTGGGGACATTGCTATAAAGTGCCATAGCAAAGTGAACAGAAGCGGGTGCTCCATTAAGTGCGGCAAGACGGGGCACAAAATCGCTCAATGTCCCAACGAGAGCGTATGCTTTTTATGCACCGAAGGAGGACCGAAGTCAAGGAACCACCAAGCAGGAAGCAGGCGGTGTCCTCACGCCGCAAAAAGAGCCGTAGCCAAACCCCGCGAATGGAAGTGATCCAGATAAACCTGAATCACTGCCGGGCTGCGCAGGACCTACTCCTGCAGTCAGTGAGGGAATGTAAGGCGGGTCTACAGCTGCTATCTAGCGGACGGACTTTAGCCATGCACTGGACACGATCGCCTTCGACGCAAGGGGCCGTTACCCCGCTATCATCGCAGGCGACGCGTGGGCCGAAGAATGGGGGTGCCCCAGCAGCAACATAAGGGGGCAAACCCTACTCAATGCCTTTGCAACGCTAGACGTTGCGCTGCTAAACGAAGGGGCGCAGGAGACGTTTAACCGGGCTGGAGCTGGGTCTATCGTAGACCTCACATTTGTGAGCTCCGCGTTAGCCCGACGCTCTCACTGGAGAATCGGCGACAGTGGGCACACGCACAGGACCAGGAACCCGGAACAGAGCAGTCAAGGGCTACCGCCAGGAGACGCTAAACGCCGAGGAGATGAGCAGGTGCCTCGCCGACATGCACTGCTTCACGGAAGCAGACGCAAACACCAACGCGGATGGGATAGCAGCCAGCTTGGAGGATGCGTGCAGGGGAGGGATGCTGATGCGGGAACCATTCAGAAGCCGGTACCTTGGTGGAACTCTGAGATAGCGACCCTTAAAAGGACATGCCTCAGAGCCAGAGGAGCTCTTCAACGGTCAAGAAGGACCGACAGGGCCGAAGCCAGGAGGACCCTTAAGCACGCCATCCTGGACAGCAAACGGGAATGTTTCCTGAAGCTGTGCGACGCAGCTGAACATGATCCGTGGTAAAGCGAGTAAACGCAGGCAGCCGCTCTCCAAAGGACCCTGAAACCCTTAGCGAGATTGTTCGCACACTGTTTCCTTCGGGTAGCGCCAAGGAAAGCATACAACACGAAACGGCGCCTACGGGGGAGATAGAGGAAGTAACGGAGGCCAAGGTTGCTGAAGCAGGTCGCAGCCTGCAGAACAATAAAGCCTCAGAACCCGATGCAGTGCCCAACAGAGCAATGAAGCTGGCGCTTGGGCTTCGGCCAGGCACTTTCGCGGAGCTCTACAAGGCATGCCTGCACGAGGGAACATTTCCCCGGAGATGGAAAGTACAGAAGCTGCTACTTATCAACAAACCTGGGAAGCCGCCTGGTAAAGCTTTCTCCTACAGGCCAATTTGTCTGCTTGACACTGTTGGCAAAGTGTTCGAGAAGCTCATCTCGAAACGGCTAAACCTGGCCGTAGATGCGGCTGGTGGCCCATCCGCCACCCAGTTTGGTTTCCGGAAAGGAAAGTCCACGCTGGACGCGATCCGAACGGTCACCGGGACAGCTGCGGAAGCCATACGCGGGAAGCGTTGGAAAGGCGGCACGAAGAAGGACTGTCTTCTAGTCACTCTCGACATCAAAAACGCGTTCAACACGAACTGGACGAGGATCATGCAGGCACTAAGGCGGCTACGGATCCCGGAGTAGCTCACCAGGATTGTCGACAGTTACCTCGGCGAAAGGGTGCTGCTTTTCGATACGAGCGACGGCCCGAAAGAGTACATTGTTACTGCTGGGGTCCTACAAGGATCGGTCCTGGGCCCCTGTTGTGGAACACCATGTACGATGGAGTGCTGAGGCTTCCCATGCCTGCCAACGTCCACGTGACTGGCTTCGCGGACGACGTCGCCATCACGATCGTGGCCAAGACGATAGCCGAAGTGGAGGACATGGCCAACACTGCGGTAAGGAAGGTGGAGTCATGGCTGTCACTTGCCGGGCTCCAACTCGCGGCACATAAAAGAGAGGGCGTTCTTATAGGCAGCCGGCAACTCGTCGAGACGGCCAAGCTGACGATCGGAGGGGTTGACATAGTCTCTCAAAGATCTATAAAATACCTAGGCGTCATGATAGACACCAGGCTGTCTTACAAAGAGCACCTGGAGTACGCCAACAAAAAAGCTGCAGCGACCGCCAGATCGCTCGCGCGGATTCTCCTGAATATAAGGAAACTCATAGCGAGCGTCGTTACGTCCCAAGTACTTTATGCCGCCCCGGTATGGGCTAAAGACGCCCTCGTACATGAGTGGCGTGGCTCGCACGCACAGACTATGTGCCACAAGGATATCCTGTGCCTTCCGGACAATCTCCGAGGAAGCGGCGCTGGTCATGGCTGATCTAGTTCTAGTACAAGAGCTAGTAAGAGAGGCTGCAGAAGTTTTAGACCAATCTAGGCGCGAGGCGCGACGGCCCGCGAGAGAGGGATCCATCTCTCGGTGGCAGGAGAGATGGGACTCCTCGACCTCTGGGTGCTGGACCCACGCTCTCATTACCGTCTTGAGTCCTTGGCTGGAAAGGAGGCATGGGCAGGTGGACTTCTACCTGACCCAGATCCAGAGTGGTCACGGATGCTTCCGGTCGTACCTGAAGAAGTACGGACACGACACGAGTGACGGATGCCCATCCTGCGGCTCTGGAATCGAGGAGGACGCACGCCACGTCCTATTCGAGTGCGTGCGGTTCGTAGAGGACAGGGCCGCCCTGGAATCAGGGACCGGTGTCAGCACTAGCCCCAGCACGCTAGTGCAAACCATGCTAAGAGGCCAAATGGAGCGGGACGCGACGGCCAAATTCACCGCGTCTGTAATGCGAAAACTCAGGATAGCCGAGAGAGAGAGAAGAGGCCTGGACACGTAAGCTGCCGCGGTTGTGCGGAGCATTGCTTTGCGGCCGTACCGCACAACTTCTGCAGTTTACGCCCATTTATTTTCTAAATGTATATTTATTAGTAGTAGTAATAAAGTAAAAAAGGAATACAAAAAAAAACGGTCGTCAAAGGTATTAGATATGGTTTCTGTTCAACGCTCTAGTGTCATATTATGTGAATATTAATATTAGCCATAGATCGTTGCACAGAAACAATATATTTATACCCGTAACTCGTAGAGTAAAAGGGTATACTAGATTCGTCGGAAAGTATGTAACAGGCCGAAGGAAGCGTTTCCGACCCCATAAAGTATATATATTCTTGATCAGGATCACTAGCCGAGTCGATCTAGCCATGTCCGTCTGTCCGTCTGTCCGTCTGTCTGTCCGGATGAACGCTGAGATCTCTGAAACTATGAGGGCTAGGCTATTGAGATTTGGCGTAAAGATTCCTGAGCTTCTTACGCAGCGCAAGTTTGTTTCAGTAGACTGCCACGCCCACTCTAACGCCCACAAACCGCCCGAAACTGTAACTTCTACAGTTTTGATGCTAGATAGAAAATTTTAACTGAAATGTATTGTTCTCATCAATACCTATCGATTGACCTAAAAAAAAATTTGCCACGCCCACTTTAACGCCCAAAAACCGCGAAAACCTGTGACGCCCACAATTTGCATGCTAGATAAAAAATTTTAACTGAAATGTATTGGTGTCGTCAATACCTATCGATTGATCCAAAAATAAATTTGCCACGCCCACTCTAACGCCCATAACGCTTAAATCTGTCTACCGCCGGTAGGTGGCGCATTTTAATCTCGCTTTGCTGCTTGCATATCTCCATTTCCCTTTGAGTAACGGGTACCTGATAGTCGAGGTACTCGACTATAGCGTTCTTCCTTGTTTTTTTTTGTGACTGTAAGCTGAAATGAGAACGTTGCATATTAAGAGATTACATTTTCAGGAGTAAATAAGTTTTTTTTATTGATATTTATATATATATATATATATAGGTTATTATATGTGTATATAATTAATAACGTCTATCAATTCTCTCATCCAAATCCTGATAGCGTTGCATTAAAATATAAACTCCTACTTTGAAGCGTTTTCTGATGTTGCGCGAAATCTTCATATCGGTGTCTGATATATGCGCCCCTACCGTCATCAATTTCCTCATGTTACGTAAGGTCTTTAGTTCAAAACCGGGTAGAATATCCTCACACTCAATACAAAATTAATCTATTTCCTTCTTTAAGTCGTCAACATCATCTGTATTAACGCAGGTTTCTTTCTCGTAACTACTAAATTCTTGTTTTAATATGTACCCCGCACCGTAAATGTAGTCATCATCTTCAATAATACTTTTAGTGTTTTTTGACAAGTTTCACGCAAAAAGCGATACCGTTGCATTAGATTAAAGGCTCCCCACATGAATTGCCCCCTGATGGGACGTAAGGCCCTGTAGTCTCCTGGCGTCAGTACTGTTCCTACTGTCAACAGTTTTTTTATGGTATGTAAGGTCCTCAGGTCGGTGCTAGATATTACATCATCATAGTCCCTGCAAAATTCTTCAATTTCGTCCTTTAGGTCTTGAATTTCTTTATCGGCAACATCAACAGCGTCTTCAATGTTGTTAGATCCTCGTTTAGAAACAGAGTTAACAATGGTGGATCTAAGCATCTTATTGGGTCGCGGATCTTCCTTTTCAGCAGCAGCAGCACCAGCAGCAGTACCATCATCAGTACCAGCACCATCACCATCACCATCAATGTTAGATTTAGAAACGTGCGTTTTGGGGTCCTTTATTTTTTTGATTAAAAAAATATAAATAAAAAATAAGATGAAGAATAAATTGTAGTTTTACATTCTTTTTTTATGTTTTTTTTTTGTCTAGGCGCAGCAGGTATGATTATGGTGGAGACCTACGTTATCATCCTCAATGGTGTCCTCAGGAATTTTAGTTAAGATCTGGAAGTCATCGTTGTCTTCTTCTTCTTCTGAGCTTACGTAACAACACCCCCGTTGTAACACACGCATTTGCAACTGCCGCATCGAAGCACTTTCGGTGGAGGTTTGCTGATCCAATTTGAACCGGATGCTTCTTCTGCTCCTACTACTACTTGCTTGAATTTTATTGTTTGGGGTTATTTTTGTGACTCCATGTTTTCTGCTTGCTTAGTTCTTGTTCTAAGTCTGGATGTTGGTGGTGGGTTATATTGTTCACGTACTTAGGCAATGTAAGTCAATTATGAACTGCCTTTGAATTTGACTGCCCAGCGCTATTTATTGAGAATTTCTGCTTGATTGTATGAGGATGCTGTATTTTCTCACAATCAATTGCAATACAAAGTATGTGTTTTTTGTTTGATATGCCTTTGAACACCGGATGCGTAATAACTGCATCCAATGCAAAAAAAAAATTATTTATTTTTTTCTTCTATCAATTTTTTTATTTGAGTAGGTGGCTTGCTGAATTTTTTTTTAAAGTTGTGTGTGATAACGAAGAAAAAAATGTGTTTTAAATTTATACCAGCTGTGTGTGATAACAGAATGCTTTGAGAAAAAAAACGTGACTTAAATTCACAACTGCGCAATAAGTGTGTGCACACACACACACACAATCACTTGCCCGAGGAAGCTAAGGAAACCCCTAAGAGGACACGTGATCCTGCGAGCCCAGCTAACTCGCAGAGGACAACGCCGGCCAAAAGGAGCAAGGCCTCCCACGAGGCAACCTGCCTGGAGGATCTCATGGAGCTGGGGAAGCTTCTGCAGGAGGTATCCACCAAGATGATGGACAAGACGGCGCGCCACATAACTGTCGCCACGAGGGAGACGTTCGTGCGCATGAAGGCGCTTCACACGAACATCGTAGAGGCGAACAGAGAGGGCGGCAAGGCCGACAGTACCAGGGTGAATGGGCAAGATGCTGCAATTATGTGCGCGAAATGCTCTCGAAGACTGCAGAGCGCCGACAAAGAACAGCAGACAACGCCTGTCTGGAGGAGGAATTCTGCAGCGCAAACGGAGCCTTGGCGAAGGATAAGCCAGCCGACTGTGGCTGGAGGATCCGCGGCTCAAGTGGCCCCACCATCCACGCGCCCAACGCAGCAGAAAAGTGCCAAAGCTCCCAAGAGCACCCGAAAGAACCCGCCAAAAGGGCCACAAGAGAGAGATGCGACGCACGCTGGCGCCAGTAAGACTGTGAGCCCCGCAATTCCGGTCGCTGAGTGGGAGGTGGTCAAGAAAAAGCCGAGGGCCACGCGTCACGCCAGACCCGACGCCGTCGTTGTCCAGGCGAGCGGGAAATCGTACAGCGAGGTGTTAGCCATGGTGACTCGAAGGGAAGATAAACAGCTGTCGGACTTGGGAAGCTGTGTGTCCAAGGTACGCCGCACCATTAACGGCAACCTACTGCTCGAGGTGGCCAAAGGTAGCGCAGAAAGTGCAGAAGCCATGAAGGAGAGCATTGCGAGGGTGTTAGGCGACGCAGCGTCAGTGCGAGCCATGTCGGACGAGAATAAACTGCTCGTTCTGGAGATAAGAGACATCGACTCCATCGCGACGGAGCAGGAAATCTGCGCTGCGATTGCGAGCCAGTATGGTATCGACGCGGAGCGCATCAGAGTTTGGAGTCTGCGTCGAGGCTACGCGGAGTCGCAGTTAGCTGTGCTCAGTTTGCCCTACTCCCTGGGGAAAGCCGTCCTCCATCGTGGCGAGGTGCGGATTGGATGGACCATCTGCAGGATCCGGGAAAGAACAGGCTCCCCAAGATGTTTCAAATGCTTGGAATCCGGGCATATTGCAGTTAACTGCAAGAGCCTAGTGGACAGGAGCGATTGCTGCATAAGATGTGGTGAAAAAGGGCACAAGGCAGCCAAGTGCAGCAAGGAGCCTTCATGCTTATTCTGCTCTGCGGCAGGAAGAAAGGAGACCAGGCACCAGGCAGGAAGCTGACTCTGCCCAGCCACAACCAGCGGGACAGGGAGACCTCGACCGTCATGCAATTGATTCAGCTAAATCTGAACCATTGTAGGGCCGCGCAGGACCTCCTGAAGCAGACGGTGCGCGAGCTGGGTTCTGAGGTGGCGATACTCAGTGAGCCCTACAGAGTGGAAAGCAGCAGCGATTGGGTCACGGATCGCACAGGCAAAGCGGCACTGTGGCTCTGCGGTGTGAGTGTTCCACCAATGCGGGACACGAGGGCAGTAGAGGGATTTGTCCAAGCGAACGTAGGCGGCACATGGATCTACAGCTGCTACCTGGCCCCCTACCACTGGCGTCCTTTAGCAGGATCCTGGACGAGCTGATCAGCGACCTGAGAGGAAGGAGCAACGTGGTGATCGGAGGCGACTTTAACGCCTGGGCCGAGGAATGGGGCTCCCTCTTTACCAACGCCAGGGGCGCACCATCCTTGAAGCAATTGCGTCACTGGACATCGTCCTGTTGAACGAGGGCTCCCAGCACACCTTGAACAGAGCTGGGGCCGGTTCAATCATAGACCTATCGTTCGCGAGCAGCTCGTTATCCCGTAGCACACGCTGGAGGATAGGCGAGGTGTTCACGGCCAGCGACCATGAGGCCATCCTGCTGACAGTTGACGGTCCACCGTGCCAAAGCCAGCCGATGACCGGGCCAAGAAAAGCCTACCGCCAGGACAACTTTAGGACACAGACCTTCGCCAGCTGGAGGGATTGGCTGTATCTGAGCTGGACTCGGCAGATGTAGCAGCGAACAAATTGGCAGCCAGACTGGAGGAAGCCTGTGACCAAAGCATGCAGCAGCGTAAGACCTTTCGGAAACATCACGCGCCAGTGTACTGGTGGAGCGAGGAAATCGCTAGCTTGCGCAGGACCTGCCTTCGAGCCGGGAGGTTAGTCCAAAGGGCGAGAGGCACCGCAAACATTTCTGCCTGCAACTCTAGCTTTAAGAGTGCAAAGAAGGCACTCAAACTGGCGATTCGGGACAGCAAGAGGGAGAGCTACCTCAAGCTCTGTGACGAGCTGGAAAACGACCCATGGGGAAGAGCCTACAAGACGGTGGTCAAGCGTGTGAATGCCGGCAACAGGTCGCCTACTGACCCGGCGGTCCTGGAAGGCATTGTCCAAGTGCTGTTTCCAGAGGGTCGCCGCCATTGCATCCCCCGATGGACGCGACAAATTGAGAGCCAGATATGACGGAACTATTGTCCGTGGCAAGGAACCTGAAGAGCAGGAAGGCACCCGGGCCGGATTTGGTCCCGAACACCGAACATTGGTAGCATCGCTCTACAACTCGTGCCTGCTGGAAGGGACCTTCCCCGACAGATGGAAGCGTCAAAAACTTCTGCTCCTGCCGAAGCGGTGCTGATCTCAAGCAGGAAAGCAGTGGAGTCGGCGCATATTCAGATCGGAGGGACAACGATAACTTCTCAGCGTGCCATAAGGTACCTGGGAGTCATGCTGGACACCCGCCTCTCCTACCGCGAACACCTGGAGTTCGTAAACAAGAAGGCAAGCGAAACCACAGGATCGCTCTGCAGGATCCTGCTAAATACCAGGGGACCGACGCAGGACAGACGCAGGCTCCTCGCGACTGTTGTCAAGTCGCAGTTGCTGTACGCTGCTCCAGTGTGGGCTGAGGCCACTGCTGTGAGCAGCTACATGCGAGGTGTTAACTCGACGTACCGCCTGTGCGCCGTTAGAATTTCGAGTGCCTTCAGGACGATCTCGGACGACGCAGCCCTTGTCATCGCAGGCCAAGTTCCCCTGTGTGAACTGGTGCGGGAGGCCAAGGAGGTTCGCGCGGCTCTAGCAGGCGAACAGGCGGACAGCAGTACCAAGACCGAGGTGAAGAGAAGGGCCAGGATGCAGAGCGTCGTCAACTGGCAGGCAGCCTGGGACATCTCCAGCAAGGGTCGCTGGACGCACCAGCTCATCCCCAGCATAGAGCCATGGCTAAATAGGAAGCACGGCCAGGTGGATTTTTACCTCACGCAGGCGCTGAGTGGACACGGCTGCTTCCGAAGCTTCCTTAAGCGCTTTGGGCACGACACGGAGGACGGTTGCCCAGAGTGCGGCAGTGGCATTGTCGAGGACGCTCAGCATGTCCTTTTTGAATGTCGCCGCTTTGGCTATGACCGCCAGATACTTATGGAGACCACCGGGGCAAGAGTTCGGCCAGAAACCTTTGTGCCCCTCATGCTGCAGAAGGAGGCGAATTGGGAAGCGACGGCAGCCTACGCAGCGAGCGTACTGCGAACTCTGCGTCGCACCGACAACGAGAGGAGAGAAGCTACAGCCTAGGTGGCTACCATTGCGCGAAGCAATACCTTGCGGTGATACCGCGCAACCACGGCCCCCTACTCCTGTTCTTAAACTCAATTTTTACTTGTATATAATTGTAGGGAATAAATGAATATAAAAAAAAAAAACAATCACTTGCAATACAAAGTATTTGTTTTTTTTTGTTTGATATGCCTTTAAACACCGAATGTGTAATAACTGCATTCAATGCAAAAAAAAATATTAATTTTTTTTATTTCTACCCCCACGCTCAATTTTTTTTTATTTGAGTATGTGGTTTGCATGATTTTTTTTTTTTTTAGGTTGTGTGTAATAACGAAGAAAAAAACAAGGAAGAACGCTATAGTCGAGTACCTCGACTTTTAGATACCCGTTACTCAAAGGGAAATGGAGATATGCAAGCAGCAAAGCGAGATTAAAATGCGCCACCTACCGGCGGTAGACAGATTTAAGCGTTATGGGCGTTAGAGTGGGCGTGGCAAATTTATTTTTGGATCAATCGATAGGTATTGACGACACCAATACATTTCAGTTAAAATTTTTTATCTAGCATGCAAATTGTGGACGTCACAGGTTTTCGCGGTTTGTGGGCGTTAAAGTGGGCGTGGCAAATTTTTTTTTAGGTCAATCGATAGGTATTGATGAGAACAATACATTTCAGTTAAAATTTTCTATCTAGCATCAAAACTGTAGAAGTTACAGTTTCGGGCGGTTTGTGGGCGTTAGAGTGGGCGTGGCAGTCTACTGAAACAAACTTGCGCTGCGTAAGAAGCTCAGGAATCTTTACGCCAAATCTCAATAGCATAGCCCTCATAGTTTCCGAGATCTCAGCGTTCATCCGGACAGACGGACGGACAGACGGACCGACGGACAGACGGACATGGCT